CCATCTAAGATTGATCTATTAAGAAATTCATCTCTAAAAACGATTTTGTGTTGTTGCAAATTTTCGTCGTAACCCGCTGAAATTTCTCGACGAGAATTCTGCAATCGCAACTTGCACCAATTTCCTTACTGTTATATTGCTGAAATTTTCTTGATTAAATTAGATATCCTTGCTGTCATATAAACTGTGATTTTGCTATCAATTCCCTCCTCAATTCTCTCAAGTTTTTGGTGGAAACTACGTCGAGAAACCGTTGTTTCTTTGACGACAATTCTACTATTACAAGACAGCACATACTTGCTGCAACTTCCACTTATTTCTATCAAACCTTTGCTACCATCTACCATAGATCCAAAACTTTCATCTACAGCCCTAAAACTCCACCAAACCATACCCTCAAACTGCACCCAAAATAGCCACAAAACAAGCCTAAACCATAGCCTACATCCACCAATCTACCAACCCTTTCGACCATCACCTCTCTCAACTATTACATGCTTTAACCCGACAACAAAAGAGAGATCTTAACATCACAGATTTGGTGGCATATACTATAGCATCTGAGGAGGTAATTGATAAGGGAAAAAATGGCGACGTGACACGCCACGACGTCAGCCACGCCAGGTGGACGCACTGCCCGAGGAAGCAAGCATTAATGCCGACTTGATGTGCGCCAACGTCACCAGCTCTTAGCCAACAACCTCAGCATTTAACTCCGTGCGCTCGACCGAGGCAAAGGAGCACGTCGACCGAGGCGTGCCCATACCCTACGGCAGCCCGGTTCTCCACGCAACCCCAGTGGCAATGTCAGACGCCACGAGAGGTACTGTCCTGCCCCTGCAAGCAGCCATATCAGGTAACATCAAACTCATCTATAAATACCCCAGAGTTCTAAACGAACAAAAAGAGAGAAAGGGACACAACTCACACAGAAGCACTCCCTCTTCCACCACCCTCTCCACGTCGCTAACTTGATCGTCGGAGGGGTCGGGTCGAGCCTCCGACCCGACCAGTGTGCAGGTGCGAGATGAGGTTGCCTCTTCCCCGACGCTGCGGCAGAGCTCTCCCCCTGACGGGACATCCAGATCACCGCGGTCGGCCACCAGAAGGACCCGAGGCACGCCACGCAAGATCCCTGCCATTTGGACCCCTGAACGAGCCGCGTCGGCCCCGAGGCCACGGCTAAAAAGGTTATTTACCATAACAGTAATCAATGCTAAATTCGAAGCCTTCGAGGCGCAAATGGATGATAAGATTCGGACGCTCTTTACCGAACTCAGATTGGGCCGACCACTAAGCCCGAAGAAATCACATCAAGGAGAGAGCTTTGCCCAATCGCACCAAGCCCAAAGATATGACTTCCAAGAGAGGGGAAGCTCTATGACCAACCCCAACTATCCATGCATGAGAGTGGACTTCCCTAGATGGGAAGAAGGAGACCCGATTGGTTGGATCTCGCGCGCGGAGCGATATTTTTGGTACCATAAAACCGCGGATGCATCTATGGTGAAAATTACAACTATACATCTTAAAGGGGATGCTATACAGTGGTTTGACTGGTTTGAACATACTTATGGAGTCCTTTCATGGCGACAATTCAAAGAAGGACTGCTGATCCGCTTCAAACCAATCGATTACGAGAATATTGACGGACAACTAGCAAAGATCCGACAAACCTCCACCATTCAGGAGTACCAAACCAGGTTTGAAAGGTTATCTAATCAAACTCGTGATTGGTCTCAAAATAGCTATTGAGGACCTTCATTGAGGGCATGAAGCCGGAGATCCGAGGAGAAGTTAAAGCGCGACAACCGTACACGCTTATGGCAGCCAATACTTTCGCACGACATCTAGAGGAGCAATTGAACCATGAAGCTCGGAGGACTAGGGTTGCTCCTCAACCAGCAATATTGAAGCCCTCAGCCCCCCTACTATCGACCAAGTCCCTACACCAAAGAGGTTAACAAGAGAAGAGCTTCGGGAGCAATATGCGAAGGGGTTATATTGGCATTGCGACGAGCCGTGGAGCCGTGAGCATCGCTGTAGTAAAGGGAGACTTCTTATGATTGAACCAATAGAAGAAGAGGTCATTGAACATCCAGAAGAGAGCCTTGAACATGAAGAAGAAGATGCAGAAGAAGAGCCACAATCGACCGAAGTTACGGTACATGCACTAGCAGGCTACTCAAACCCGCAAACCATGAAAGTTGGAGGCCTTCTCAAACAACAACCGATCACTGTTCTCATCGACACGGGCAGTACTAATAACTTTCTAAACAGTAAGATTGCTGTCCAAATGGCCTTACCTATCGAGAATTGCAGTAGGTTTGACATTAAGGTTGCCGATAGATGGATTTTGAAGTATGATCGTAGGCGTCCGCAAGTGAAACTGTTGTTGATCATGAGGCCTTACCAAGAGATAATTGCATATTTCTTCCTTCTCCCTCTTGATGATCATGTGGCCATGTTCATAATTAAATGGTTGACGACATTAGGTGATATTTCTTGGAATTTTATGCAACTAATTATGAAATTTTACAGGAAGGAGAAACAAGTGATACTGAACGGGAAACGTGGGGGCGACGTAACGACGATTTGCACACAACAAATGGAGAAGGTTTTGCATAAAGTATGCAGCAGATTTTTGGTACAACTTGAGCAGCAAACTAAGGGAGAGCCAATAGAATTTGAAGATCCAAACCTACTTCCTTTGCTTGCTGAATTTTCAGATACATTTGACGAACCGCACAACCTACCTCTTACCTGTCGGCATGATCATTATATAACGATTCTTTCAGGCAAACCTCCAGCAAATACTCGGCCATATCAATATCTACATCTCCAGAAGGATGAAATAGAAAGGATTGTAAAAGAGATCCTCGAAATAGGAGTTATTCGGCCAAGTTGCAACCTCTACTCTTCACCGGTGCTACTTGTACGCAAGAAGGACGGAACATGGCAAATATGCGTTGATTACCGAGCTCTCAATGGCATAACCATCAAGGACAAATACCTTATTCCAATAGCAGATGAATTGCTAGATGAAAGGGAGCACAAATCTTCACAAAGCTGGACCTTTGATCCGGGTATCATCAAATATGAGTGTGCGAAGAAGACATACCGAAAACTACCTTTTGAACACATAACAACCACTACGAATTTTTGCTTTCTTCAACATAAGGTGGAATATCTTGGGCATATCATATCAGAGGAAGGTGTGACGGTGGACCCCTTCAAAATTGAAGCAATGCAAAACTGGCCCACCTCGAGGAACATAAAATTGCTACATGACTTTCTGGGTTTAACAGGCTACTACTGTAAGTTCATGAAAAACTATGGAAAGATCAATGTGCCACTTACTTTCTTACTGGAAAAAGATGTCTTCCAATGGTTGGACAGAGCCTCTGTTGTCTTCGACAAACTTAAGGCAGCCATGACGATGACGCCGGTGCTAACACTACCAGATTTCAACTGACCCTTCATTATCGAGGCCGACGCATCTGGAGTCAGAATTGAAGCCATTCTCATGCAAGATGGTCGACCAATCGCATACACTAGCAAAGAATTATCTCCCTCCCATCAAAATAAGTCAACATATGATAAGGAGATGTTCGCCATTGTGCACGCAGCAACGAGGTGGAGACCCTACTTGATTGATCGACGATTTCAAATTAAAACCGACTATAAAAGCCTCAAGTACTTTTTGGAGTGAAAGATATCATCCCCTGAGCAGCAAAAATGGGTAACAAAACGTCTTGGATTTGATTATGAAATAACTTACAAAAAGGGGAAAGAGAATGTTCTTGCATATGCGCTTTCGCAGCTACCCGAGCAAGCTGAAGCTTCAGCCGTTTCACTTCCGACCAGCGACTTCCTTGAGGATATTAAGATGGAATGGCAGGAAGATTCAGAGACTAGTAAGATTATAAAAAAATTGGAGGAAGCACCAAGCTCTGTGGCTCATTACAATTGGGACTTAAAAGAATTACACTATAAGGGACGCATTGTGCTTATGATAAATTCTACTTGCATCTTCACGAGCAGATTTTGGACAAAGTTATTTCATATGCAGGGTACTAAATTGAAAAGGAGTACGACATATCAACCACAAATCAACGGTCAGACAGAAGTTGTAAATAGGTGCTTGGAGACAGCCCAAAGCCACCCGCCAAATATGACTATCCAAGGAGAACTCCAGACCCAGCCAAGTGCCATTATTGATCGATGGATCGTGACTCGACGACGACGACCCACTACTAAAGTGCTAATACAGTGGGTGAACCTACCAACAGAAGATGCCACTTGGGAGAACTATGACGACTTGAAGATCAAATTCCCAAAATTCATGAATCGTCAGCCTCGAGGACAAGGCTGATTTGAAGAGGGCGGGTTTGTTAGGACTCTAGCTAGGAGAGTCCTAATTGAGAGGGACATTAATGTAAAATCTACCTAAGTTGACCCATATTAAAGAGGTGAAGAGGCTGGCTAGGGTTAGGAGGTTGTTTCTTAGAGAAGAATTAGGAGTTGTAAATGAATAGGAGTCTTGAGTAGAAGTCCTATTAGGAGTTGGTTAGAAGTAGGAGTCTTGAGTAGGAGTCTTATTAGGAGTTAGGGTTTAGAAACCCTATAAATAGCCATATATTCCTCCTATTTTGATAAGCAATAGATGAATATTTTCTACAGCCTTTGAGCAGCAACTTGGAGGGAGGAACCCCTATAGAGTTCCAAGGAGGCCGATCCCCTAAATAGATCAACCCCAAGTTTAGAATCTGCAAGGGTTCTAACACAGTTGTGGCAGGTTTGGTGGGGTTCAAGTTGGATGGTTGTGGATTGGCAGAAATTTGCTCATCTTACACATAAATCAATCATTATTTGGTTACAAATGCTTAACTTTTACCTAACCCTTTTGGGTTTGGTTATCTTTCTATCAACATGAAAAATTGTTGTGTTAAATTCTGGAATGCTCTTATTGTAAAAGTTAAAGAATCAAAAGTATGCAGCATGGTAACATTGGCATGGGACTTGTCACAACAATTATTGAATTTCTAGATGACCAGAAGAACCAGGCCTTGTGTTGTAGAGAGAGGTTAATACATGTTAGAGAAAGATTGTTCATTCATCCAGTATTTATTTTCTGTCTCAAACAGAGGATTTATTGCTGCTAATGTGTCTATGCTCTTAGATTTGATGAGTGTGGCGTCTCTCCTCTGACAATTAAGGCACTCACTGATGCTGGATACATACGAATGACCGTTGTGCAAGAGGCGACACTTCCTGTCTGTCTTGATGGTATGCTGTATAAATGTTATCAGTTTTATTGTCTGTCTTGATAGCATGCTTCATAAATGTTTATCAAATATATCTTTCTCCAAGCCCAATGAACTTGCTGGTTCCCTTTTTTTAATCTCATTTTTTTCCCTTATTTTTCATTGCTTGCTACATAAAGCTGTAAACTTTTGCAGATCATCCTGAATATAAGTTGAGTTACTAGGCTTTCTCAATTCATTATGTGCTGCTGTCCTTAGTTCTTTTAGATGATGAAATTAACATAATATTTTTTTAGGCCTAGCTTTGTGGTCATAAGTAACCACATGAATTCAGCTTTTGGATCTAGTTCCTGTTCTTCTGAAGAACATAAATATAGTTCATGATGCTGCAATGCAAAAAGCTCAGTGAATATGTGATATGCTGCAACGTTTAGAAATTGAATTTAGTCTACTACAATGCATGCAATTCTGTCCTTAATGAATCAGGAAATCTGAGTAACCATGTACTCCATGATATGATAAGATTTCAATAACATTGATTTTGGCATGGCCTTTTAGCTTTTTGTTTGTTTCTTTCTGTTCCATGATAAAAATATGCCAATTATACTTTTGCTTGTACATTGGTGATTTAAACAGGTAAGGATGCTCTAGTGAAAGCAAAAACAGGCACAGGCAAAAGTGCTGCTTTTCTGGTATACCATCTCTATTATGTGGTAGTTATTACCAATTTTAAATTATTATTTTCACTCCTTGAATATTTTATTAAAGGCAAACAGCTTCCTGCAATTGAAACAGTCATCAAGGCAACACAAAGCAGCATAAACCGGCGGCTACCTCAAATTCATGTTCTTATTATTTGTCCCACAAGGGAGCTTGCCATTCAAGTTGCAGCTGAGGCAAATGTTCTGTTAAAACACCATGTTGGAATTGGTGTTCAAACATTTACTGGAGGGACAAGGTTCAAGATGGATCAGAAACGTCTCGAATCAAATCCTTGCCAGGTTTTATCTTAATCCTTTCTTGCATCTGTTTACTTTGATGAACTAAATTTTCTCTTGAAAACTTCAAAGCAGGCACTTGAGAGTGTTTTTTCTTTTTTTGTTAATAATCCTGCTGGCCGTGGTAATGTCTTTGGGTTTTTTAATTCCAGTCTTAGAGTTCATAGCTGTTTACAGATTATAGTGGCAACACCTGGCAGATTATTGGATCACATAGAAAACAAGTCTGGGTTTTCTGTACGTTTGATGGGTTTGAAGATGCTTATACTTGATGAAGCGGACCACTTGTTAGACTTAGGATATAGAAAGGACATAGAGAAGATTGTTGATTCTGTGCCACGCCAGAGGCAGTCCTTATTGTTTTCTGCTACATTTCCTAGAGAGGTACTACTATATTTTTTTGCTACCATTCTCAAATATCTTGGTTCTCATTTACTTCTGCAACATCTGTTTTTCTGACATAAGGATCATTATGTAATAGGTATGCCGAATATCACAGCTTGTCTTGAAACGAGATCATATCTTTGTCGATACAGTTGGCTTGGGATGCGTGGAAACTCATGCAAAGGTATAATGCAATGACCTGTACATCATTAGCAACTATATAAAAGGCACCATGCCTTTGTTGATACGGTTGGATTTGGGGGGCATAGTTTAGTTTTATGTTTTGGTTTTTTTGGTTGTGGAGTCTCAATTTGACAAAGTGGTTGCATATTATATGTTAAACTCTTTCACAAGTGGCTTGGATATTGTAATTGTCGAAGAGTGGGTATGTTTTGTATATGTCATTGTTGACCCAGCAATAAATATCATCTTTCCCATGCTGATAATTTTTAAATGCAGGTTCTGCAGGCATATCTTATTGCACCTCATCAACTGCATTATCACTTGGTGTATAATCTTCTGAAGGAACACATGCAACAAGAGTTAGACTATAAGGTCATTTTTATTTCACACTCGAGCATCTCATAAATTATAGTATCTAATATCTTTTCTTGCATCAGGTAATTGTATTTTGTACAACTGCTATGGGAGCGGCTTTTATGTACGTGCTTCTCCGAGACTTGAAAATGAATGTCAGGGAAATGCATTCTAGGAAGCCACAACTTTATCGAACTCGTATATCTGATGAGTTCCGTGAATCAAAGTGCATAATTCTTGTAACCTCTGATGTTTCTTCTCGTGGGATGAATTATCCTGATGTCACTCTAGTCATTCAGGTAATTCTGCCTTCATTGTCTGCTTGAACTGCTGGAAATAGTCTTTTTTTTTTTCTTTCAAAACACTGGTTATTGCTGCTGTTATTCATCTGATGCAGCAAAGGTTGCTAGATTGCATCTTTATCTGTTATTCTGTTACATGAACTGCCTCTGGAGTAAATTTGTTCATTCAGAATCCTGAGGTTTATATGTTTCATAAATAACAGTAGGCATGTCTATCTGCCATGTTTTTATGTGTTCTTACGTGATTTTATGTTTTCTTGTTACTTCTATGCAGTTTTTCATGAATAACTAAGTGATATTTTGTATGAGAAGAACTGCAATCCTTCCATGATGAAGTTTAGAGAAAAGATTTGCAGAAATGCAGAAATTTATCTACTTAAAATGAGCTTAAATAGACGAAGACTTCTGGATTCATGTTGCAATTTTGCACTTCATAATAATATGTATACGCATTTAAGAAAGATAATACATCAGCAATGATGTTTAGGTTGGCATTCCTCCTGATCGTGAACAATACATACATCGACTTGGAAGGACAGGACGTCAAGGCAAAGATGGAAAGGGCATTCTATTGCTTGCACCATGGGAAGAATATTTCATGGATCAGATAAAAGATCTTCCCATCAAGAAGTATCAACTTCTGGATCTTGATTCAGACACAAAACAGAAGGTACCTATCAAGTCGTAAGGCCTTTCATGGTTAACTAAAATAATCCTGATGACAGTTCCTAGTATTTTGTTTTCCTTGGCTTAGTGTCGATGTATTGATACTCACAATCTGCTATATCTCAGTGATGATCCATTTAGTGCTGATGTCATTGCATGGTGACCTAATTTATGTTTGAGTTGATATCCAATACAGGTGTGTGTCCGTGAAAGTAAATGGCTATTAGGTGGAACTAATCACTCCAGGGCCAGTTTGGTCTCACACAGGTGTGATGTGTGGGAACCACACGCATACCTTATTAGCACCACATCAGATATGTGAGAGGCCACATCACCCTAAAAGAAGTTTTGGATTGCGTCGGTCCACCCGAACTGCAATATTCTGAGTGAAAAGAGATTTACCGTTGGAGGATAAGTACCCTGTTTTAAGTTTTGGGTTTTGGGCAATTGGTTTAAGGTTTCATATGTAAGATATGATATAGCATCCAAGTTCCTTTAGCGTACAATATCTTTGGTTCATCCAATTCTTGTTTCTCATAACATGTAAACGATCTGGCCACGCACAACCTCCTACTTCTTGCTGGAGGTATAGAAGATTGGCTTTCCATTTTTCTGTGACTAGGTGACCTAACACATAATTATTTGTATATACAGGTTGAGGATTCCATTGGAAGAGTTGACCCAAGCATCAAGGAAGCAGCATATCATGCCTGGCTTGGATATTATAACTCTATTAGGGAAGTAGGAAGAGATAAAACCACGCTGGCTGACCTGGCAAACCAGTTTTGTCATTCCATTGGTTTAGAGAAGCCTCCAGCGCTCTTCAGGAGAACAGCTTTGAAGATGGGATTGAAGGGCATTCCTGGCATTCGAGTTCATAAGTAAAGCCAACAATTGTTCTGATCCATTTCCATACTGCAAATCCGTAAGTATCAATGCTGATCCGACTTGCTAACTGTGTTGGGTATCTTTTCTTGTCCTTTCCTCACTTCCTAATCTCACTGTGGTCCATGCTTTTTTAACACCTCATGTGTTGGTGTTTCTAGATCTTCTCCATGTCCAACTTAATTGCTTGAATGTTTGCTCTAATATTCTTGTGATTTCTGGTGTTTAACATGAAATTTCCTCATCTCGTGGTGTCTTTGCAGGTGATTACAGAGTGGTTTAGATTGGTATCAGAAAGAGAGAAGAAATGACAACATAAGCTAGTGATGGATGATGGCTCGTATTAGATTCAAAATAGCATGGCTTGTTCTGAGAGGCATTGACTTGTCCTATAGCATGGAGTGGGTGGAACATTCTGAAGCCATTTCCTTTCTAAATGACACATGGCTTCAATCTTCAAATCATTCCCATCTTCTTAATAGGAACGAGAAATGTCTTTTTAGCGATCTCATGGACTCCGTTACTTGATAACTCATAACCTTTCGACTATACTAATGTATGGTACGAACAAGATTCTTCATCCATCATGTACTGTATTCATGAATCTGTGAGACTCCATGAACGCTATTAGGAGTGTCCGTACGAGCGATCATTGAATGAAGGTATGAAGTTGACATCATTAATGTTGGTCCTCTTTTGTGCCTTCTGTGGATGAGCACACCCGAGCTTCTTCCTACATAGATTCTTCCGTCACTCTTTCAGCAAGAGTGAGAAGACAAAGCCTCGAACTCTTCATCCATGAACAATTACGATGATGAATGAAGAATTCCAAAGAGAAAAAGGCTCCCTCACTGAGCTAATCATTCTTTCTTCTACACAAACAGCTCATTCTTCACACACTTCTGAGACATTGTTAGCTGTGTTGGTAAAAAACAGGCAGACATTGATTGGAACACACATTCCCATTCAAAATCTATATGTATCTGGTGACAGCAAGTATAATCAAGCTTCTCAAAATATACTCTTTGGTATATAATAATTGTGTAACTAGGATTTAAATGGTGATATCATTGACATGAAGGGTGCAAATGATGGTCACCTTCACCAGCATGGAGATACAAAACCTACCAACCTGGAAGGAGGCAAGAAAACGGTGGGTTGCATCACCATCTTCCCCAAATTTGTTTCGCTGCATGCATGTGGGTACAGACCATAAACAAATCAATGGTGTGCTCGCAGCCCATTCGAGACAAGGATGAACTGCAAGAAAGGGCTGCGGTCGCCTGATGAGGACCAAAGGCTCCGAGACTTCGTGCTCAAGCATGGGCTCAGCTGCTGGAGTGCAGTTCCTGCCAAAGCTGGTAAACTCATTTATCATGTGGAGTTGGAGATTTAGTTGCTTTCCTTTTTCTTGCTTACTCCTCTGCGATCATCGCTTGGATTTGATAGGTCTGCCACGAAATGGGAAAGGCTGAAGACAGGTGGATCATTTACCTGAGGTCAGGCTTGAAGCGTGGGAATTGTTCTCCAAAGAGGAGGAAACTGTTGGGGATGAAGGAGATAAAACATAATAGTATGATGCAATTAAAAGGAATTCTTTTGATGATACAGTATTTAAAATAGGATGATTGACAAAAATACTTACAAGATATTCCTAAGTACATACTCTCTATATATCTTGTTTCATGAACTATGATCCTATTTATAGGACCTAGTGGTAACTACCTCACTCCCCATGTCACCCTTGAGGTAGTTATTGAAACTACCCTATAACTATTAGATCATGATTGAGGTAGTTATTGAAACCACCCTATAGTTATTAAAACCACTCTATAACTACTAGATCATGATAACAACCTAGATAATAAATCAAATCTCAACACTCCCCCTTGATGACTTGGTGAGGATATCCGCAACTTGTTTATTTATTCCATAATACTTCATTGTTATGGCTCCACTTGTTACAAGATCTCGGATGAAATGATAGTGTATCTCTATATGCTTCGTTCTTCCATTAAATGTTGGATTCTTCATCATTGTAATTGTGGCTTTATTGTCACAAAATATTTTCGTTGCTTCTTTTTGTTCTTGATGAAGATTTTCAAGAAGTTTTCTAAGCCATATTGCTTGACAAGGTGTTACGGTTATATATTCTGCTTTCGATGTCGATAATGTAGTTGTTGCTTGCTCTTTAGAACTCCAAGATATAGCTCCCGATCCGAGGCTAAAAATATTACTTGAAGTACTCTTTCGATCATCTAAAGCTCTTGCCCAATCACTATCAGTGAAACTAAATAATTTATAATTAAAATTATGAGAATACTAAATACAGTTCTAGCAATATAACGCAGAATTCTTTTAGTAGCTCTGAGATGATGTTTGCTTGGGCTATACATAAACTTGGATACTACACCAACAGAGAATGCAATATCTGGTCGAGTATGAGTTAGATAAATCAAACCTCCAACCAAACTTCTATAGTATCTTGCGTTTGTCAGACTTGTACTATCTTCAAGTTTTAATTTTTTATTTATATTCATGGGTGTTGTTGCAACTTTACAATTAATCATGTTAGATTTTTGAGTAGATCCATTGCATACTTTCTTTGTAAAATAAAATTTTCATCTAATCCTTACTTCACTTCCAACCCAAGAAAATAGAGCAGTAGACCTAGATCTGACATTTCAAAATTATTCATCATGCATTTTTTAATTCTGCTACAGAAGAGTTAGATGAACCCATATATATAATATCATCAACATAGAGGCAAACCATTAGAATATTATGTT